GGCAGTTACCACTGCTTGGTAATTAAATGTAACTCTGACTCACACTACTCCAGAAGGTAGACACATACTAGGAAAAAAAAATAAAAACAAACCACATAAAACATGAAAAATCATTTCAGAATACTCTTGTCTCTTTAAAACCCTTTCTCAGGAATTAAATATCATCCTTGTTGATAAGTAAACACGCCTAACTTCTAAAATGAGTTCACAAGTCATATCATACACTTTTTAAAAGGAAAGCTTATGACACGATTTTAAGAACACATTATTAATGTTGCGAAAGTCACGATAGCAAGAAGATGCTTAAAAAATCTGCAAATTTATAGTTGAAATATTTGAAACTGACTGCATTCAGTGTAATGACAACTCTGGATGGGAAAGGGAAAGAAGGGGAGGGAGATAGGAATGTCTAGCCTAATAAAAGAATTATAGGAGCAATCACCTACTCAATTATTTAAAATAAAACAAGGTGCCCTAATATTCCTGTATTTTAACAGTAAATGGGCATAGGAACATAGGCACTAAATTAGCTCTTCAGGAGCATTAAAAAAGTTCAGCTCTGCAATCTGTGAGTATAATTACCAACAACTTACGTAGCGACTACTTATCCCGTGCTTTGTACAATGCTAACAGGAGTACCTTCTGATACCTAAGGCACATGCCTGTTACATGACTTGAGTCACACTGAAATTCCGCACATTCCAACTAGTCTCTCTTCCCCCAACACATGTGGTACTTTGTGGAAGGCAAGCATCCCAGAAATCAAGTAAACCCCAAACACTGGCAAGCTGGTACAAGTTTCATCCAAACCTGTAATCATAAAATGCAACTGCAACAGTTCATTGAAAAGAATGTGACTCATCTTGAACAAGCCTACAGTGAGAAGAAACCAAGACCATCACAGAGTTCTAACATAATGTTTTTCATGACCACTGGTCAAAGATAACTGTGAATTCATCTGGGGAAAATGGGTCAATAAGATAATAGAGCAATTACTATAATTTCAAATGAAAGTTAAGTAGAAGGGCTTTTTTTTAGAAATTATCAAACTGCATAGGATTTGAACAGTCATCATCTGGGGGTTTTTTTCTCTCTCTCTCTCTTTTTTTTTTTTTTTTTTTTGGTAAACACATTCATCAGGGACTTGCTCTATCCCTGCCCTAAGGGTTGGGAAAAGTTATCTTGGCATCTTAGTACAGGTGACTGAGAAAAATCAAGATATACTGAAGAGATTCAGATGACTCTGTAATGACTTTTTTTGGCTCCTGTGGCAACAAATGAGTCAGTCACAGGTAATCTCCCATCGTTAAAGTTGATGAACATGGGTAGAAAAGAAAAAGGAATGTGATTTTTGGGTAGAAAATTCACTGTGAAGCACAAATTAAATATCTACACCTTAAGTGTCCCATGAAGCTTGATGTATGAATAGAACCTAATGATTGCATCAAAATACTTTACTAACACCTTACCACACAAGGCTTCCCTCCACCGAGGTAACAAAAAAATTGTTTCCAAGTTATCTCTTATGTTCAAATGCTTCATACTGGAACTCCATACCCTTATTATCTTTCATTGCATTTCCATTTAGAGTGAGTTAGTAAAAACTGTGCAGTCAAGATGTTCAATGTCTTTACACCCATGTATCTAGGTGTACCTATCCTTCTAGGGCACGCGTGCCTACAAGGGTAACGTGTAGCTGTGGGAAGGGACAAGACGAAAAGAAGTCTGGGTCTGAAACAAACCAAAACCAACAAGAAAACCCCCAGAAACTGTGTCTTGCTGCTCTTCAGTTCTAAGACAAGTTAAAAAAAATTAAAAAAAAAGGAATCTGGTGTCCGAGGGCATATGGCAGCATGTCTATACAGGACTGAACTCCTCGTTCTCCCATGGGATACATAATTCCATGATGCTTCACAGGCCAAAGAAATTTCTATTTTAACTCTGCTAATAGTTTATGTTCCAGAACCACAGCCTGAAGTAACAAATTCCGTACAAATCCATGTAATACTTTTCTACAGATATCTATAGATAAGAAAAGTCTGTTTAGCAAAACTTACACAAAGAGTTAATCTGTTAGAAGCTCTCGGCATAAGTAGTTAGTTTAGCTGTGAGTCAGCAGTGCCTGTTTAGAACTGCAAACAGGAGACCCTTTGACACAGATAGGCAGCTTCCAGCAAGTCTCTTACTTACCATCTCCTCACCTCCCACTGCCACTCAGTTTGAATCTTCCTCATACTTTAAATTTGGCAAGTTGTCACAGAAGCGGTTCCACTGCACAAGATATGCTTCTGCAACTACTTTGGATTGCTCAAATGTTTAAGCAGATTGCCATCTCAACTGGGAGATCGTCTCTAAAGGTTTTTAAACATGTTTGAAGCCAAGGGCACAACAACAAAGACGCACCACATTTAAAAAAAAGAACTTTAACGAGCTCAGCAGCTTTCAACAGCTGTGCAACCTCCACCCCAAGATAACTGAGAAGTTCCCAATTGAAGGAAGACATTTATTAATTCAAATGCATCAGCTATATTTCTCAACAGCTCACAAAGCAGGTATTCTTTTACACTGTGACAGTTTGCAGATAACCGTATTTCAACAGCACTTTTCAGTCTGATAGTACTATAATGAATGTAAACACAAACAATTTGTAGCATACTGCAGCCTAGGAGAAAAAAGCATTGTGTACCTCCAAAGATAAGGAATATTCAGGTAATCTAGATCAGGAACTTTGGACTTTATGCCTCGTCTGAAAAGCTGCCCCTCCAGCAGTAAAATTTCCACTATTGTGCTGAGCCCTGATAAAGAATCAGCTCTGTAAAGACCCACCTAATGAGTCACTTCCGGGAATATCCCAATTTTCTTGGGCAAAAGGTATGGGCAGGGGTGTTCCTTTTCAAATGTTTTTTAAATACAACCTGTTCAAGTCAAGCAGATTTGCAGACCACAATGATATAGCTCCAAGGTTGAGTCCATAAAAATAACATTATTCTGATAGAGGAAAACCATCTATTTCTGTAAAATATTCCCAAGATACCAATTTTTAAACTTATCCAAACAACTGAATCCTACAAAGACACTTTCATTCCTGTAACAGAATATGCTTTCCTCTGACCATAACAATATCATTCAAAGTGCTGCTACAAGTTTCATTCTCATAAAAGGTACTCTCATCTGTTCCCAACACTAGTATCCCTTTCCCTGTGGCATCAAGAAGTAATTGCTTCTTCCCAGTTCAGGACCCTCAATCACACCTTATTCGCTAAGAGAAGAACTCTGCCTCTAGAAAAATCACAGTCTCACCTTCAGGTGGCCAGCTGTCAGGTGCTGGAAACAAAGGCTCATGTGCTTTTCCCACGTTGCCTTCAAGCTCTCTATCAGTTTCAATACTATCTTAATTAAATTCCATTTGAAATCTCTCCTTGTCTTCGTAACTATAAAATGCCCCAGTGTACCACTAGTTGAGGTGTGCTGAGATCAGTCTACCATGCTAACGTTCCAATTTTCTTCTCTTTTATTTACCATCACCACCTTTATCTCTACCCATTGTCTTTTATCTTATATTTAGAAGACTGCAAACATTAAGTATTAAAAGCTTTTAGTTCTGTTTTTGCAATTTCTATTTTCTCCATTTTAAGGCCTGTAAACATAACTGTGATCACATAATGATGATATAATGTAAGGAAACTCTTTTTATCCTCTTAAAAAACAACATTTTGAGTTTAAGTTAATTAATTCTTCCAAACAGCAAAATACTGATACACTATTCAGAGAAAGGCATGCTTAGTTTCTGGAGATAAAGATCCAGGCACGTTAAGTGAGGTAGCCCTCTAATCCAAATTACTGCAAATATTCTAAATCACTTTACCATAAGCATTATGTTTTGGGTATAAAGCCACTCCAAAGGTCCCCAGCATTTCCAGTACGCTGTGCCACGCAACTCTACAATGCCCAACACTGTAAGGCGCACAGAACCCAACCATGTTCAAATCCATAGTAACCTCACAGGTGACAGCATGAATTCAGACTATAGCAAGACCTTCATACTGCCAAGAGTCACCAACATACACCTGAGAGGATGGAGTGAAGGGAGATCACCAAAAGGAAGTCACAAACTGAAGACACCACTTATCAAATGGTTTCACTGGTCTGTCACAGGATGAGGCTGAACATGCAAAGGCTTTCACAGCAGCCTGGTGATCCTGAGCTTCAGACAGTTAACAGTCTTTCAAAGCCAGAAATTCCAGTCACTGAGTGACCCTGTATTTTGCCACTAAACTGCCACTCACTAAATAGTTGCCCATAAGGTACCTGCAACTTGAGAAACATAGGCAGGTCATTCTCATTCTAGGATCAGAAGGCCTATTGGGATATTAAATTTTTCACTCTAGGTCTTGCTTCTCCTTCCAATAAGCCTGACAGAACCCTTCAGCCATGTGCAGTGAGCAAGCTACTCACCCTTGGTAAGTGCAGACCAAGGTGGCAAAGCAAATAGATCTACAGATGGCTACAGTCTGAAAATGAGCTAACACTTCCTTTGATTGACTGTCTCAGCTTTGCACAACATTTAGTCATCACAAAGGACATGGGAGCTGTGTCTGATATTGACGTAAAATAATAATAAAAAGTATTTATCACTGGAGCTCTGTGGAACTTTCACAGCCAGTAACATCAATCCTTCCAATTGACCAATGTAAATCAGTCTTGTGAACTCTACATTACTAGTTCTTCCTACAAAAAAAATGCTGTAAGAAGTAATAAAAAGTAGACCTGTCATCAGAACATGTACGGTTACACCACCTCAGTACATCCTTAGTGAGGACACATTGCACGAGTGCACTGTCCCACTTACCATTCTTCCTTTCACTGAGGGGAGGAAGGTTGGGGTTTCGGCCATGATGGAGGTTGAGGGTCAGCTCGGGCTGCAAGGAGAGCTCCTGCAGCTCATTGGCAACAGCTTCGCTCTGCGGGCTGGGGGCCGCCGAAAGGGACACCAGCACCGGCTCATCATCATTTTCGCCAGCCCCGCCTCCGTCCAGCCCATTTCCAGCAATGACGGAAGGGGGCAGGCACACCACGCCGGAGAAATCCACTTTGGCTTTCGTGATGGCAACCTGCAAGACAAACCCATAAATCTCACATGAGACTCTCAGCCATGTGTCCAGTTCATCATGGTGTCTTCTACATTATAGAGAAACGTGTTCAGTACAGAGTTTGTGTTATCAACATCAATCCAAATCCAATAGTGATCGAAACTTTAGCTACACTCAGCAGTTAAAAAACTTACATAAACCTCCAACAGCATCACTGCAACTACTGATGAAACTACAGATTATTATAATTTTCTTTAAAAGTATAAGAACGTTCTCAACTTTTGCTACTTTAGGAACCCAATCTTGAGAAGACATAGATAGGATGACTTCACTGGAATGACTTAATCTAGAACCTTGCTAAACTCTTGATTACTGTCCTTTCATATCAACTGTGGTGTTCTACCAACTGCCTCTTAGAAATCCAATCAGGTAAAGTAATCCTTCATAATAAATCTGGAAGGACAGCTGAGTACAACAAATGAGAATTTTCAGATAAAATCAACTGCATTTCAAAAAATAGTTCTCTTGTTTCATTCTCTCTTCCCCAGTCACAATCAGTGAAAATGAGTAAGAGAAAAATATTCCACATAAAGTAAACAAACTTGCCTAAAACCTCAGCTACAGTAACCAAAATGTGCAACATATAAAGGGCATTAGTGAAATAAACAATTTTAAAGTGTTTCTTTATATTTCCATAATTCTTTAAATGAGTAGTCAATGTTCAAATTAAAATTCTCTTCTGTTCAGTAATTTAAAGAGAAACAAACCAGCTGTAAGTCTCCAGTGAAACGGTTACTGTGTCAACATTTAAACAGTAACGGGCATTATACAAGGGCAATCGTATTTGGTTTTGATTAATGAAGATGGAAGTCTCCTGCTTCTTAGTATGCTGCTGTTTCAACCCGCCTAAACTCGGAAGACTCTGCTGCACTGCCGTAATTTAGCAAGCAAAAGGTACTTCCAGAGGCTAACCTTCAGCTTCAAAAAGATGCAGGTAAAGCAACCTGCAAAGAAGCAAAGTAAAAACCATCAGGATAATCCTCCAGAAATCAATCAAAAAGCATAAACTTGGAACAAGGTGTTTAACAATACAGTGTTTTATTAAGTATTCCCCATTTAACACTCATAATTACACTGAATGAGTGTGACAACAACAACAAATTGAAAACTGACAAAGGAATTCAAACAGTAATTTTTGCCACTTGCATTTCAGTTTCATACTTTGGTTGATTAGTAACATTTGTTCTGTAATATCCAGAACAAAGTCATATGTGGCAGTACATTTGTTTCAAAAATTTGTTCAGTGTATATTTAAGTGAACAATAAGAATTTAATGGTAATGAATACACGTTATTTCATACATTTGTCATACATTCATTCCCAGGACCCTATGTCATGATCTGAAGGGAAGGAAAGAAAAGAGGGGTGGAGCTAAAAACCCAGAAAACAACAAAAACCACCAACTGAACAAAGTACTTGTTAAAACAAAACAAATGAGATTGAGCCAAACATTACTGCCATACGAAGCATTTGCTTTTACTTCATTTAAAATCTGGCTAGAAAGTGCCTACTTCTACCCCTCCGATATTTTTCCTGTCCAAAGTAAACACAGAATCACATCCATTTGAAAGCAAATCGTAATGGTAACTAGAAAAGAGAAAAAACTGGGATCATGCCCCTCTCTTTACAATGGATAGAGAAAACCTGAGAACACACAGACTTAGAAGAACAGAGTTTGGTAAACTCTGACAATCTTTGAAAGGCTGTAAAGAGTTAAATCATGACCAATATAGTTGGCCTCAGGCCTGTCCCTGTAGGATGGGAAACCTGTGGAAAGGGGCTAAAAGGAAGAGTAATTGCTCAGGTAGGAGGCTGGCTGGTAAGGACTGCTCTCACCATCTTAGAGGAGCCAAAGCCAATTCGCTTTATGGAAGGAGATGTACTGGAGGCATTACACTTTGCCTGGTTCCACATGATGGTCAGCTCATGCGGAAGGGCAAGCGCAGCCAGGCCTGAAATCACAAACAGGTGACAGACACATCTAACACCCACCCTGCAGGGATTTGGAATGGCAGCAGACTCAATCTTCCCTCCTCAATCTACCCTAAAAAAGAAAGATTTCCTTCCTCCTCCCAAAAGGGGAAAACCAAGCTTCATGTGTCTCTAATACGTCAGATCTGCTTCAACTAAACAGCAAATGCCCTTAGGAACTTCTGACATAATGGATTTTCTTTAAAGGAGGAATTTGTAACCTGCATGAACTAGGAAAATTACATTTCAAACACCACTTTAACAACACTTGTAAAACAGAATCTATTTCCCTAATCTAAATACATTAGTATTATCCAGGCCACTGAAATTTAGGTATTATACAGGCCTATACAATTTAGGTAAAAGCACAGCACCAAGCCACAGTAAAAGCAGTCAAACCAAGTCAGTGACAACAAAAAGCAGAATAAGAGATCGGTGCTCACACACCAGTTTGCTATGCGACCTTGAGCAACACCATACCAAATGGTGTTAATTGGTACTGGGATTATAAACCAGAGTTTCTCCAGTAAATTGTTCAATGAAATTTCAGCACAGCAGCTGGATTAGCTAGAGTTGTACCTGAACTTGCACATTACTTAACTCTTGCAGAGAACGACACAGATGAAAGGTATCTTAATCCTAGTTGGCATGTCATCCAGTGTTTGTCCCAAATCAAAGGAACACAACTTAAGCAAACCTTGACTTGACATTCATTGTTGCTCTGCCTCTACATCCTGCTGATTCAGCTGAAATGCAATTTTTCCTTAGTTATTTTTCATCTGGATCAATTCCTCCATACAAGGCACACTTCAACCAGCACAGTACAATGCAGCATCACCACAGAACACAAAAAAATCAGTCTGACTGTCCAGACTCTCAAACAGTCTGGACAACGATTCTGTTACTCCAAGCAGGGTTGCAGCTCAAATGAAACTAAAGTGGGATGAACCAGTAAATGCATTAGGTAAGCCTGCCTTCTCCTTCCTCCACATCACCTCCCATTTCAGGCCACAAGAAGAATCTGCAATGACACACAAAAAAACCACAAGAAAACTGACCCAGGTGTAAAAGCTAGTCTTGTGTTTTACAATGCTGCTAAATCAGGTTCCTGGTGTAGTTTTGCCCTGCAGCATCACCAACACTTGTGCCAACACTTCACAAGGGAGAGAACCAGCTTATACCACTATTACATACAAACATCCAGCCTCTACCTAAGGGAAAGAGAACTCTTTTTCAGATCAGTGCCAAGTCTTAGTATGCAACATATTCCCACATTAAAAAAAAAAAAAAAAAGGCATCCAGTCCTCAAGACTACAATAAAAGCTATAATTGGATGCATTTGATTTTAATGTTTTCAATTAAAAGCCTGATGAGGGCACAGAGGCATTTGAAAGATGCTTTGAGGATTTATAATCATTCATGCTGCAATATTTGGAAGTCCTGTCAAAGACATGGAATCCTTGTCTGCAACCAACATAAGGCTGTTTCTAGACTTCCCGGGCAGTTATATCACTCTATAACTGTCATTGTAAAATGATCAATCGGTTAGTTACACACATTAATATTTAGAACCTAATTAAAATTTTACAGTGTTTGTTTTCTTGTCATTTCCGAACAGACTAGAAACTTTCCCATAAAGAAATGTACCATACCATGATCTTTAAGTGAGTCATCCAGAAGCTGATGGACAGTATTAAGAGCAAGTATTTCTTATCCCCAATAAGGGCTTCAGGGTGAGTACCCTCAAAGACTTGTATCTGTTGCCTAACCAGGCAAGAGCTTTCTATCATGGCATTTTTCTACTTTTGGGCCAGTTGCTTCTGTGACAAGAGTGGCTGTGATACCACAGATGTTCTACAGCAGCAACACCAGCTTAACCAACCCTTAAATCCTCCACTGTCCAGCTGCTCATTTCGATCCCTACACTGACACTTCTTCAACTGGGGAATCTATTTAGCTGAAAACCAGCCATTTCTTCCTGAGTATTCAACAAAATCAGTTCCCCAGTCTATTGCCAACTACACAGACAGTTGTGTTGGATACATTAAACCATCTCCAACCTTCAGACAACTGCTATCAAAGGTAGCCATCCTGATTTCTTTTTCACTTCCTTGTGCCTTATAGTCCCTCACGATACCCAAGTTTTTGTGTGGCTGGGTGGCAAGCCAGATCAGCAACCGATGCAGATTAAAACAAGTAGTTTGTGTGTGCGGCCAGGTCAAATTTAACACAGATCAGTTCCTTGATCTGGTTTAGCTTGTGCTGGCTGACAGGCGGTGAGGAATGAGCAGGCTGGACTGCTCCTTCTGTTGGCAATGCCAGTTTAGTGTCTAACCAGAGGATGTGGTTGTATGATACAGCTAAGTTGGCCTAAGCACCCGCCAAAAGGGCGGTCTTGGATGCATGCCTTTTTTGCTTCCCTATGCCAACATTGGTGCTTGTCTGCCCTCATGATGGGATGATTAATGGAGCTAAAATGACAGGAAACTAATCTTAATCCCTTTTTCCCCCTCCCAGTTTTCTTTTCACTAGCTTACTGTTGGTCAGACAGGTCTCCATACTGCATACGTCTGTCTATTTTGTTTCCCTTTCACCTCCCGGGGTCTGAGCTGTCCTTCAGTGTTTCCGGAGGAGCAGCTTTAGGAGAAGTTTCTATAAGTAATTTTGTCGTATGATAAATGCAAAGTAGAACACCTTTTTCACCAGCAAGTAGGCTAGTCAGGTTTACTGTGTGTTTACTGTGATATTGTGCTGCAACAGCAAGAGGATGCACTTAAAAAGCTACCACGTAAAACGAGCTTCCGAGCAGTTTAATCTTTGTGGTTTGCAGGTTTGATAAAGATAATATTTTTATAAGAATTCTTAATGGCCGTGGTTCTTAATTTTGTAACTTCTGCAAAACTGACTCTGCCTTATTTCTCTGTCTTAAATTGAAGTGTCTTGAATGCCTTCAGAACTCAGAAATGGATAATGATTATTTATATATTTACGAGTACTGTCTATTGTTTCTTTTAAGCAGTCCCATCTTCCCCCTCGTTCTTGTATTGTTGTGACAGAGGGTTTGTGCTTTATAGCAACATAATTTGAGCGCTCCTGGCTCCTGAGAGCATGCTGTTGCCCCTGCGTGATTTTGGCAACATTCACAATCTCATGGCATAATCAAGATCTCGACACTCAGTATTTAAATGAAACAAAGAACAGTACTACCTTCCCTAACATGAAACCTCAATAATCAGAGCAAACTATATAGGAATTTACACTTTAAAATTAAAACATAAAAGGAATTTTAAAATAAGTAAGTAAAAATCAGAGAAACACAGGGGGAGAAGCGGGAGGAAAGCACAATTTCCAGATCAAGAAAGGACACCTCTCTAAACTGCTTTCTCTTGTTTGCATTTTAGGGCTGAGTTGCCAGGGCAATAGTAATTTCCTACTGATTTAAGAATTGCTAAGCAACCTCCAGCACCTAATAGCAACGGCATGTGTGTGCAGCTGGGCTATTTTGAGAAGACAGGTTTTTTTTTTTTTTATATTTTAAACTCAAGAGCAGCGTTCTGTTAAATGACTATGCCAGCTGAGATTATTCAGCCAAGAGAAGAGGCAATCTTGGGGCAAAGAGGCTTTAAGTGGGCAAATCTTTGAAATGAGTGAGAAGAGAATGCCATGACACGCCCAAAGGCAACTCTGTCCACCACGTCGTCACAAATCAAAATAATAACCCCAGAGAAGTGAAGTTTTCAGCAGCTGGAAGAGAAGCATCACATTAGCTCAAGAAGCTATAATACTCATAGTGAGAGATGTTCCTTTTATCTTTAGATATCGAAGAAAATCACCAAGAGGAACACCTCCAAACTTGTATTAAAAATTATTTCATTTCCTGGCAGTCAGCTTAACTCAGGCACGTAACTGTTGGCAGAATTATTTCTCCACTTAACTGAGAGTTAACATAAAGTATATATAATACAGGAAGCAACAAGGCTTACTTATATAATACAGTAAGCAACATCACAGACTGTTCCCTGGAGGGGGTACAGCCTTGAGAACTTGTTCCTGAGGAACAAAGTTAAGAAATCAAACTATGCAGACCACTAAAGAGAGACCTTCTTAGATCATGGAATTTTATTTTAACACACACATTCCACACGCATTTGTCTTCCGCAAAATGAACCTGTCATCAGCTCCCTTCACTTTCACAGTAATTGGGGGCAGGAGGAGGCAAAAGCAGACAAAATTTAATCAAATTCTTTCTGGATTAGAACTTGTGATTTGGAGGTATAAGCTGTCCATTTCACCATAATCACAAGCCACTACTCTACAAAGATTGTATTATAAAGGCAAAGACTGCAACACATGTGAACAAAGATGCTGGTAAAACTTAAACGAGCACAACTTTATCTGAGCTAAAGAATCTGAATCTGTATTTGTATTGTGCCAGTAACACTACAGTAAGAGAGGGTATCTTTGAATCATCATTGTGTTTCTCTGCTACCACCTTCAGCAAATCTATCAGCACAAGAGTCAAAACATGCTTGGGTCAGCAAGAAAATGGCAAGCAATATTATCAGACAAAAGGCATGAACAGCTGTATAGAGATGTGAGGACTTGAGGGAGAAAAGATGCATATCTTGTGCAAAGCAATCAACTGCATAATTTGTGCTGTAGACAAACACAGCCTTGCACATGATTTTAATAACCACTCATCAAGAATGATATTTCTTAAGTCCTAAGTATTTCCTTCATAAAATACATTTGTTTCACTCAATCCCACAGTGATAGAAAGCCTTCAAGAGGTCTTGAAAAATCATAGTTAAACATTCATTTCTTAAAGCCACAAATAGGCTAAGAAATGTAGCTTGCCATTCCAGATATTTTTAAGAAATACTTTTCATGATTCAATATGTATTTGGAGGAACTTTGTGGCTTTCAAGCTCATGACCTCTGGGCACACAGAAGAACCGATAACACCAAAGCCAGTTTTGAGATTCACAGTGAGATTTATAATAAACAATCCTTGCTGAAAAAAAGAATGAACTCTCCACCAATTTCTGAAGTTCTTATTTAAGCTCAAAGCATGAATGAGGAAGACATTCTTCTAATTTCAGAGGATGTTGAGCCTTAAACTGGTGAAGTACTTTACAGATGTATAATTCTATCATACCTCTTAGTGTGCTGAATGAACGATCCAGTTTGTGAGACTAAAGATGATGGCAACTAAAGAAACAACAATTTCTGCTGAAGTTCAAAGAACAAAAGAGACCAAAAAAGATGTGATGTTCAGGTGTCATGTGTCAATAGGTACACCGGTATATTTTAAGCCTTGGCCATGATATAGCTCAACATCCTAATTAAAAGAGGAATCCAGCCTTCTGCTACCAAGCTGTTGGTTCCTGCAGCTTCCCTTTTGTCTGATCTAATGATTGTGCACCCACAGGGTGACTCAGGTCAGCCGAACCAGCAGACAATTCACTCTGCAAAAGATTAGAAACCATTTTTTCCAGGATCAGTCAGCTAGCTGGATGTGCCCTGGGGCTGCACAATCACAAGATCTGATGCAAAGGAAGAAGCAGGAGCACACAGCTGTGCAGAGGTTTGACCGGCCTTTGCAACAGCAGCACGCTGAAAGATCAACTTAACTGGAATGTCAAAGAGCACACTTAAACATCTAGCAGTGGTGCCAACTTAAGCAGCCTGCTACACATTCCCACTCTCATACCTTCCTCATTGTGAAACCAACATAAATCTTACAGAGACAACATGTACTAGACCAGATGAAAAATAATCTAGGAGAAAACACTTCTTTCCAGGAGCATGTGTTCCCCAGAGTGGCTCACCATGGCCACAAAAACAGCTATGCCAGCAAAACAGAGGGAGCCGAGAAAGGGAGCAAGCTGTTTGAGCCTGCACTGCTGCCAAAGAAACACATGATGAACTGCAGTGTGTTTAGAACAGGATTGCCTGTTTTCTACCACGTTCTGACTGACTTTCTTGCAACTGCTGTCTGATGCATCTTTTAAGATTTCCTTCATGTCAGAGGCAAAGCATTCCTTCCCACCCCACTGGGGCAACTAGTGGAAGCAACGGATTCAGCCAGCAGCAAAGGCATGTGGCAACAGATGCCAACAGCCAACGGAAACAGGGAGGCTGCAGCAAACTAGAAAAGCGAATGCCGAAAATCTGCAGCCAGGTGTGAGCTTTGACTTGGAAATTCATGGCTGAGAAAGTATGAAAAAACTCTTGCTGAATGTGGATTTAGGGCAGATTGGGATGAGACAGACATCGGACAAGAGAAGTGTCAAAATAAGACCTCGAAAGAAACAACACACTTTCAAACACAGAAGATTTGGAATTTGGGACAAGAACTGGATGACCTAGGACTTAATAAAGTGGTGATTTGAGCAAGAAAGGAAAGACAGCTCAGGGAACAAATCTAGATTAAAAGAAAATAAATTTTTTAAAGAAAAAGAAAAAGTTAAAACAAGATAAAGTAGTTAAATTTCAGTCAGTTCAGTTCCTGGCACAAGCATTCATGTCAGCACAAAGTAGCAGGCAAAAGTGCAGAACTTATAGAATCTTAAGGATTTTACGGCGATGTTTTCTGGCAACTTACTTTAGTGTGCCTGAGGAAGTAGTTCTACATTTTAACTAATTCAGTCTGATCCTAGGCTGTGACTGAGAGTGTAGGTCCACACTGTATCACCTCACCTCAGTTTGGAATTCTCACCTTCTCTCCTTCAAGTAGTGACTGCAGCCACAGAGCAAGTCAATTCACCTTGCTCTTCTGATGGAAAGCTACACCTCGGAACATGCTTGTTTTCCCACTGTGCTAGCAATCTGAACCCTGCAACCACAGATTTGTTAGATCTCATTAAAAAAGCAAACAAAAACCTAAACAAACAAAACCCCAAACAAACAAACAAACAGAGGAGCAGGGCCCATTGATAAATGACAGCTTTCAATTACCTCAAGTACAATGTGAAACCAAAGCCTGAAAAAGAGTCTGCAAGAAGTTTTCTGACCCCAGTCGCATTCTTTAGTCATGACTATGAAATTGTCTACAGAAATTAAACCAATCTGAATTGATTTTGTCTCTCCTCCCCTTTAACGGACACTGGGTGTGGAATTCAAATTTCTTTGCGTTTACTGGCACATTCTACTACCCAGCACGACACCCAGTAATAGGAAAGCCCAGCAATTGAGACTGAGTTCTAGATACTCTGTTCCCTTTTTCCCCTACAAGAACCGACTTTCTACCCTTGGATCTCCCCCTCCTGAAAAATTAGTAAGATTTTTCTTCAGGGATTCACAGAGAAGCACATATCAATACTACTGTCTTGCTTAAGTCAACCAGCTTATTGAAATGAAGTAGCAAGTCCTCAAGAGGTGCTCTCTAACATGTAAATCTAATCAATGTGGGTAAAGAGCATGGTGGAGGGGTGGGGGAAATGGAACAGTTGCTGTTCTTTGCCAGTTCAGAGGAAAGCAAATTCAACCTTCACTGCCTCTTTCTTTAAAACAAGTCTTACTAATTGCTCAGCAGCATTGAAAAGTGGACGAGTGTGCTATTTATGCTATTAACACTGTAAAGTCCTTGCTGCAGAGCTGTTACACTTGACACTAATGCAAATTCAAAATACTTAAATATTTTATCTCGAAACAATACTATCCCTCACGTTTAGTGACCGCAAGCAATTCTCAATTCAGCACATAAGAACAAAAGGGGCAGACTAAAGACAGCAAAAAGAACACAACACACACCTTACTCACAGTTCCCACGGACAGACCCAGCTCACTTCCATGCCAGCAGCTCTCTCCCCGTCACTGAAAGAGAAAACAGGACAAATACTCAGATATATAAAAACAAACAACCAAACAAAACCACACACAGCCCATTTTCTGCTTTAAGAGTAAGGAGCAAAGTTCTTTAGGATTCTTTTTACATAGAATCTTTAACTCATTTGGCACACGCAACAGAAGTTGGACTGAAACACCATCAAGACTGCCACACTTGCATACACATACCCATGCTATTTGCAGAGCAGAACTTTTACTTTAGGACAGCTGGTTTGTCAGTTCTGAAGAATGCAGTGTTTGAGATCTACTAAGGCAGAATATTCACCAAATGATACACTCAATTTTCTTGTCCCTGTACTGAAATCATTCTTCAACACTGGATGGTAGAAGCTGTAGCCTGTTCTGATTAATTTATTACATCCATGCAAACAAAAACAAGGAAAAGTAAAAAAGTACATTTCAGAGATTTGTCCAGACTGTAATGAGAATTCCATTTTTTGAGGGGGTGAGGGCCCAGGATAACCTTCCTGTGCACCTTAAAAACTCCTAAATGTACTGAAGTAACACACCACTTTTCTCTGGCAATACAGCTTGAACAGGTGAGCATAGCAGTACTTGACTAGGAAATAATTACTTTAGAGGCTCTGGAAGACTGTTGTCTCACATGGCAGGGGTCAGAAGTTGGTTTGCAGCTGCCATACTTTCACTTCTACTTCCTTAGCCACCGTTAAAAAAATACAAATCATCATAGGAAGATTTTAAGATGAAGTTTCCATTCCATTTCCCCCTCCAAGCTCTTCAGACTTCAAGGCTTCCTAGACACCAGAAGCACAGAACTGCAGTTGAGATGCCATGATATTCTGTCGATAAGATCAAATTAAACAAAACAGGCACCTCCCCAAATACAAACTTCAGACCGGATGGACTTTGGACACATAGTTCCAATAAAAAGCAAAAAAAATAGAATGAGCTATCTACTACTTCAACATCAGAAGGAATAAGACCAATTAGACTGATTAGTCTCGATGCTTGGATAGTTGGTATGTCACAAAATGTGAAAGTTTTCTGACCCCCACCCAACAAATTAAAGAAGGCCACTGTTTAGCAGCAGCTACAGTAATGAACTGCACATCTACGAGGTCCACTCTCCAGTTAAAAATCTGAAGAAGCAATTTACAATACAGATACAGATTTAAAAAAAGAAGTGACACTACTACTTTAGAGGCTTCCCTTACAGAGAAGGTTTCTATTTTTCTTTGAATAAAATGTGTCAGCACGCATTAATCATGGCCCTATCACAGAATCAAGAAGTCATTCTGCCACCTCTTACAGTATTTGTCATCAAGTCAATATTTAGAATTACTTACAACCACTTAATTAATTTACCGTGATAATCTGTAACAAGCAATTACTTTTCTTTAATAAGTAGCCAAACTGATACAACTGAAAACATGATAATGATGCAAGGCTATGAAACCAAGTATATATTTAAAATGTACTTTTTACAGAATTCCAGATACTAGATTTCCTAAAAGTCAAGGCAAAAAGGTCTCAGAAAGTCAAGGAAAGTCTTTTACAAAGATGTAAACACTGTTAAGAGTTTGCTATTCCAACATGATGAACAAAGTACCTGACATAATTTAGTAAAATAATTTTGCTGGAGTATTCTTCTGACAGCATTAAGCACATAACATCAAAATTCAGGTATGCAGTGCTTGGTTGTGATGGTGTTGGTTGGTTAAATCAGAAATCATAAATGAGTGATATTTATCCATATATTACATCTTTAGTGCAAGGTTTTGTTATCATTTGGGTTTGAGTGGTATTTTTTTTTTTAATTTAGTGTTTGTTGATTGCTTTGGAGTTTGGGTTTTTTTGAGACTCGGGTACCACTGAAACCGCTTTTCACACACGAAAGCGTGGAAAAGTTAGAGATGCATTTCATTTGAAGATTTCTGCTGGCCAATCCCTAATTTCCAGTAATCCTGGTTCATTGAATATCATCTTCCAATTTTAGATTAGAACAGCACTGATAAAGCTGGACAAACATCAGGCTGCTGCATTTAATTTCCAGCACTTATGATCCACGTTCTCCTGAATCTCATTTGAATCCAGATGGCTCCCACACTGAGTCTTTTCTTGATCAGCCTGTCCTACCACTTGGTACAGAGCTCCTGCTAATCTTTTACAGAAGTGAAACCCCAGAACCAACCAAAATAACCTTTGTGTTTTCTTCAGTAAGTTTTTTTTTCTGGAAAACTTCAAACTGTTAAATATTCCAGCTCCAAAGAATGTGTCAGGCTATCCCTACTCAGTTGGGAGGGTGAGGCAGAAGGGGAAGAACCTCTCTGTACACCCTTAGTTCTACATCCCTTCCAGGGCATTTGTAATCAACAACCAAACACCAGGCCAGACAGACACCTCACCTGGCACAATACAGGACACACATGTACTCAGTGATTTTGGCATCTTTGCAAAAACTTAGCACTATCCTTGTGAAAAAGAACTTTTGTGTATGTGTGTGTGTGTACATGCAAGCACACACTCAGAAAACAGGACAAATTATTGCAATAACTTCCCTGCCCCAGATTATTTACTTCTCCTGACTTTCCAGCACTTCCATCAGCCTTCTCAGGAGTCCAGATATCCTTGTTCTCCCATGCAAAATGCATACTCCAGGACACCAAATATTTATCTTTCTTTCTCTAAGGACTAAAGTTTTACTCCAGATACTCTGGCCAATATAAGGCCAACTTTAAAACTTTCAGTCCTATTTGTCCTCGAAGCTCCTGCTCAATCAGAGATGATTAAAATATTGCATCCTGAGATTTACTCCTTGCCATCTGAACCCCAAGTAGGAGACAGACTGGCTCGCAAGAGGCATGGACAGTCATCAACTTTTTTCTAATATGTGTGTGCCATTAAACTAAGAGATGCTGCAGGTATAATATATTCCTATCATTATCCTTATCCACTCACTCCATTTAATTTCAATCCAGCTTGAAGACAGAACACAGAAACACAGACACACCCTGCCTTCAAAAACAACAAATCAAACTTCACAAAAATTCACCAGAACAGCCTTACAACTGTAATGAAAGACAAGCTCTTTACTGCTCCTCCTATACTGCAGCGAGTAAGCAAAGATTATTCTGATAACTGAAACATTTTCTGGCAAAATTCCACAGTTAAACTGCTTTTATTATTCTTTGCTCATAGCACAATCAAAACATTCCTCCAACACTCTTTTTTCCTCTCACTATACAGTCAATGCAGGCAAAACTCTACTGTCCTAGATTTTCTGAAGAAAAAATAGTGTCATCTCTAAGAAATGCAGAAGTCTCATCTTGCTGATAAACTTCTCCATCCAATGGAAATGTTTATATGTCAGTGTTTACGTGTTCAAGCCAAATGGCTGCTATTCCGGTGATTACAATGGCTTATTGCCTTCACTGGTGACTTGGAGCTTGAGCACGTCTGAACAATGCAGAAACTCACTGACAGGATTCGCGAGTCTGATCTGAACGTGGCAATGCAGAACTCATATCACATCCTTCCTACACCCATCCTGCTCTCAGGTGGAGGCTTTGAAAAGTTTCGGACTCCAAGTGATCTGTTCCTGTAAAGCATGCCCAACAGGACATATGAGAGAGAATTCAGAGAGTTATATTAGGCCTAATATTAAGTTAGCCCTACCAATCCCCCTAAGAAAACTCTCATCCAGGTTTGGGTCCATCTTACACAGTGGAATAGAAATTAAGTTCCAATGCAGACTGTAATCACGTTATGTTGCAAAACTTCCTATATTGCTATAAAGATCACTAAAGAGGGCAAAAGTAGTAATAATTTTTTAAAAAGAAATCATTCAAGTTGAGTCTTTCAATGCTTTTTTCCAAAAATTTCTTCCTGAAGGAGGAAAAGCTTCCCTGTAATTGACAGAAAGTGAATCTTGTCTCGTCTTTGCTCAGAGCTGTACCTTCACACACATAAACAGTTGCAGGAAGAATGAGTTCATCATAACAGGGGTATGGTTGCATGTAAAGGATGATCTCATTTGAGTAATTCCAAAGAGGGTGCTGAACGTATGGATCAGTCGTGCAGTGAAGACATATCCTCAGTGCTCCACTAAACCACAGAAAGGGTAGAACTCAAGGAACCACACCCCCTCTCCCTAGTGTGGCTAGAAGTACTCGTAATTGCCATATATTACAGGAAGCATTAATTTGAGGTTGAAACAATCTGTGATGTAGACTGTCCCAAACCAAAATTCATTTCACAAAACTAGACATATCATTTCAGGCTCCTGTTCCCCTAACATGAGGATGACGTGTAGTCAGGACATTTATTTGCCTCACTGAAGATGACAAAATAGGCAAATTTCTGCACTGCCTTATGCCAGGGGCCCCTGCATTGTGGTACATACACATTTCAATACACACCCATAGCAAGCAGAGCCAGTGGCAGTACCAGCAGTTCCTGACCATGTCCAGGGGAAAATTTTTACTTCAGTGCCTCAAAGGCAGCCCCCAATGATCAACTCTTAACAAATAACGTGCTGGCACATGCAGCAGCAGCTACCACGCTTCCTCTGCTGTGCTCCACAAAAACCCTGCTCTTCTGGATCAGCAGGGCCCAAACAAACTGAAATAGGGAGCACAAGTTAATTAAGAAGGGTAAGTCGAAGCAGTCAACAAGCTAGTTTGTGGTAGGAGAGCAAAAGCAGATGGATAGCATGAGGTTAAGGTGCAAAAAAATCCCCAATTAAAAGCTCAGCCTTTAGCTTTCAAGACTTAGAAAGACTTGTGACTGTGTTAAATTTCACCTTCTTAAGCAGATGTTATCAATATGGCCATGTGCCTCAATCCAAAATATTTCTTCACACAAGAGTAATGATGCTGCGCACACACACACAAGAAAATGGGGGAGGGAGGGGGAAAGGAATGCTGCACAAACTAAATTCATTAATCCAATTTCTGAAATATAAACCAATCTATTTTAAACAACTACAGTACCTTGCTCAGTGACAAACTCTAAAATTTATCTGGGTGGAAAATAATTGCCTTTTATAAGAAATAGGAAAGGATCAAAGAAAGGGAGATATTGTTAACAGTAGTTTCTTCACGTCTGAAAACAGACTATCAGATGATGGCAGATTCCTGTATTTTTTTTTGCTTGTTCTCCACCAGGACAACCCACATTTAATAGTGTGAAGGCATTGACTGACCAGTATGGCATACCTAAGACTGGTAATGAAAACTGCCCTCACCACAATGCCATTCATTTCCCCCGAAGAAGCCACTTACCAATGTTTGCACTCCATAAGGCACTCAAAGGATGGAAGGAAAAACATACACATTAACCACACACAGGTGTCCCTGAAGAACTGAACCGAGTATTGACAAAGAAATGAGTTCCTGAATTTACACAAACTCATCCATTTCATCTGACACATAGGCATAAAAGAATCACAGGAAAAGTTTTAAACTATGGTTCCCTTTAGCTGTAGCTCTTACTAATCCGCTTCTGCTCTCCCTCCACTGTAGCTACACATTCCTTCAGCCCTCCCCCATTTTTTATTTGGGGGTCTGAGGGGGAGAGGAATAGAACAAGCCCAGCATGCAGCCCCACAGACATACATCCACTACTGAGGTGACAGTACATGGTGGGGAGGGAAAAAAAAAAGGGCAGATGGGAATATGAGCTGTTTAAGACAGCCCCACCACTAAAAGAAATGTCTGTGTAACCACATCCTCTGTTTGCAGTCTCAGTTCAGCAATATGTCCAACAGGAAATAATTAGGTTTGGCTTTCCCAGAGTAGGTGTTTGACAGTTTGAGACCACTGAACAGTTGCCTTTTCTGCTTCCTCTCCAACAGTTTCTCAGGAAAAGACAATGACCCTCAGGACAAAGTTGATTAAAAAAAAAAATCTTTAGAGGAAGAACCTTGTGTAACTATAATAAGATTTGCTAATTGTTACCTCTTTCTACATGGAGGAAATCAACTGAACTCTTCAAAAGGGACCTTAATCACAATACTGAGTTATCAGTAAGTAACCAGACATTGAGACAGACAAATTGTATTATCTACAACACAGGAAGGACAGTTGAGTATAGAGAGTGAAGACAAAAGACTCGGAGTTGCTATAAATTGTGGTTTTGAAGTAAAAAGCACATATGGAGATATCCTCCACATTCCAAATGCAAGCAATAATTAATCTCGTGATAATGTTTTGACACATCCTAAGAATTTATCTTTCTGCTCTAACATCCAAAACTTTTTGGTCCTGATCCTCCTCTCTATGTAGCACAGCTGCCCTCTTCCCCACTAAATACCATTCAGCAATGCAATCATGGCTCAACAGTGAAGGAATTCCAGTATGGCTTTTTATTATTATTATTATTAAATAATTATTATTTTGATTGCCTGAATGTACATTTCACCTGGAAGTATCAGGATGAAAGAGTCTGTGAAATATGCCGCTGCTTTACCACACCAGTAGAAGTCAGAGTTAAAAAAAAAAAAAAAAAAACAACAAAACACTCACAAGCAAGCACTCCTCCTCAAACCTAAGGGTTTCCCATTACTTCATATTCAAGAGAAGGAAAAATTAAAGACTGCTTTTGGGAAAATGCCATATTCTTTTAGTCTTATATCAAAATGTCTTCTGTACTCCCTTTCTTTGCATTTTATTCCATGATCTGCTTGTTGCCTCAGGATTTGGGAGCCTTCTCCCACATGATGATGAGAGAGGATGGCCTTAATTAAATAGAAATTAAAGCTGTTTCCACAACTGCTAGAACCAGCAAACACAGCACTGCTTACATTTTGTACAGAATAATATGATGCTCAAGAAACTATAACTGGCAATATTTCACTCTTTTCCCAAAATCACATTTGGTATCTAAATTATAAGAGAGAAAGGAATGGAAAGCGCTCAATAAGTTAATATTTATTAATTAAGAAGGGCAAATTCGCCTACTTATGAAAAGCTTATGGCATGTGCTTTCAGCCCTGAGTCTCTTTCTCCCTTCAGCAGAAAACATGAATCTAAAGAACGGGAGTTCACAATCAGCTTCAAATCACACACTTGTTTTAAATTCTATTATTAGATTCTATTTAATCACAACTATTAGATCACTCTCTGCAGCAAATAGGAACAAATGGGTGTCCCTTTCATTTCATATTCAGTAATGACTGAAGTATTTTTGGAAATACTTATGAAGATCTAAAAGCATTACTAAAGCCTACTGAGGGTTCTGTGCAAGTAGAAGGTATATTCTGAAATCAGTGCCCAAAGCTTACATGTATACATACCTGAAAGTAAAACCGCCACACAATTAGAAAACACAATTTCAGCTATAATAAGTCAGCTATGCCATAGCTAACCAGCCCTGATGACAAATCTGACATACAGACAGAATGTTGAGATATACACATTCAGCCCAGAATAGCTACATTTTATATTTTCCAAATATTCCGAGCTGTTTCTTCAGACCCTAACAAAAACAAAAAGCACATTTTGGTTTTCATGATCCAGAAAAGAGGCTTTGGACTCAAACAGAAACATTTTTAATGTCTTCAAAATGTAATTCCTGGGGATGGTAGATTAAGATACAGTTTCACAGCAAAGGCCCGGAGACTGTCTGGACAAACAATACCAGAAAGGAACTGCTATAAAGCAGCAGCAAACCTGAAACCCCTTAATCAGCCCACTCACGGTTCATCTTGTCAAACAGCACCATACAGAACCGCGTGAAACACAAAGTTTGCAGTTTAAGGGCACACAGATCCAGGTCTCAGGAAGGCAATTCCACTTACACACATGGAACTCGGTGAGCTTTCATCCGGGATCGCAGAGTATGAGAAATTACGGTCCTCTTTGACACAAGATTTTACAGTCACGGAGAGGGTGACAGACGGCTGGGACACAGGGATGTTACCTCAAATATGCACCCAGGCATAGCACGGACAAGCATCTTTCCAGTGGGGAAAGTCAGAAAGTCACCCCCGCTCCCGAGAGCCCGGTGGGGGCGGCAGGAGGCGGCTGCTGCCCGAGCCCTCGGGGACTCCTGTCAGCACTGCCCGGCCTGAAACGTCGGGAAGAAAACCCCCACCGCCGACCCAGGGAACGCGGGGCGCCCGGGAGCCCTCTGAGAGGTGCGGACGGGTAGGGGGCCGAGCGCGCCCCGGGCAGCGCCGGCAGAGCGGGGGGGGCTCCGAAGGGGGCGCAGCCGCCCCGCGCCCGGGGGAGCGGCCGTGCCTCGGCCAGGGGAGGCCCCTCGAGGCGGGCACGCGACCACCCCCACCCTCTCCGTACCAGCGGCGGCCCCCGAGGCCGCCCCGCGGGTCCCGGCCGAGGCGCAGCCCCGCTCTCACCTGGTCACGGCTCCATCTCGCCCGAGCCCGCCCGCGCCCGGCCCCGCCGAGAGGCGCCGCCCCCACTCCCGCAGCGCGGCCGCGCCACCGCCGGCCGGCGCCTCGCAACCGCGGAAGCGCCCGCCCCGCGCCGTCCCCGCCAATCAGCGCGGCGAGAAGCAGGTGAGCGGCACAGGAGCCGACCAATGGGCTGCGAGCACCTGGGGAAGCTAACGGGGGCGAGGGGCGGGAGCGGGGCGGGTGCCGTCTGACTGACGGGGCGAATAGCCAATGGCAAGGCAGAAATGAGGTCATCGGGGAGGGGCGGGGAGGGGCGGGGCCTCGACCTCGGCTTAAAGGGGCAGCGCTGGCCGTGAGGGTGTCGTGGGTCGCGGGAGTTGGGGGTGTTTTGTGGGGGTCAAAACCGTGTAACATTTCGGTGCATGATGTTAATGCTAGGATGTTTAGGCTTAATGACAAGTCAAGAATATTTACCTTCCTTTATCCCGTGTTTTCTCCCAGCGCTGCCCCCCTCCCCCCCCCCCCCCCAAATCCTTGGGATGGGAGTGGAGGGTCCCCAGCACAGGCTGGATCTTACATGCTGGAAATTAAATGCATCAGCGCGGCGATTGTGCAGCTTTACCAGTGCTGTTGTAACCTTAAGTTGAGAGAGAATATTCAGTGAACCAAGATCACTGGAAATCAGGGATTGGCCAACAGAAATCTTCAAATGAAATGCATCCTTAACTTTTCTGCACTTTCATCTGTGTAAAGAGGCTTCAGGAGTACCCGAGCCTCAGAAAAAAAAATCCCAAAGCAACCAACAATGGGGGCTGTGCTGCCACCGCTGCCCAACCTGTGACTGAATTGGAGGTTTCAGCTGCCCCTTCAAGCGCCTGGCTGGGTGGTCTGGGCCTTCTCTTGCAGAAACACAATGTTTCTTGATATAGTACAAAGCCAGAAAAATAAATAGTGCAAGTGGGTGAAATGCCCATAGTGAAAACTTCAGTTAACGGAGATGGGATTGTGGAGAAAGTAGAGGAATGATGCCGTCCCTGAAGAGCAGGGCAGAGGACCATAGTTAGACTATTATAATATCGTTATAAATAGTTGGTGTGGTTTACCTGCAATGCTGTTCTCACCCCTGCTTACTGTATCTCAAAATGACGTTGAGTCATGACAGAGACTATAGGAATGCTCAGTGAAGGATTGTCTCACACAGTGAAGCTGAAAAATGTAGGATCACCTTTCGAAACAAAGAAAAGGGCACATGAGCGAGGTATACAATAACAAATGGTATAAAGAAGGCGTCATTGGCCTTTCCTTATTCTCTCATATAGTCAAAGAACTAGAGGACATGATATAACTGCAAAGCAATGTATGTGAAGTAGTTAGGAAAAAATGTTCGTGCCATGTACAATTAATCTATGAAATTCACGATAAGAACTTGATGGTACAAGTTATGTTAAGAAGAACCAAATACTTAGCCAGTTACTGCCAGTCAGCCACTATTTTGCCCTAGTTTCCAATGTTGACATTTACAGCTCTTTGCTTTTCATTCCCGGAGATCCAGTTCAGCTTTGGCTGTGCACATAAATCTTTGAAGTAACATAACTCTTCTGCCTGCTGTTTGACAGGGTTAGCCCTTCAGAGGTAGTTTAGTTGAAGAATAGAATAAAAAAACATTCCCATGCATGATGGTGATTCTGGGAGTTTTAGGTTAAATGACAAGTCAGGAATATTCACCTTCCTTTTTCCCATGTTTTCTAACAGCTCTTCAGGGATCTGAGAAAAATGCTCCAGGTGAATGAGAAAGCATGGATGTCCTCCTCCTCTACAATGTCGCCAATTTTAGCAACAATAGTGCATGGCTTATTCTTGAAATCATTTGCTTAGAAGACTTGTTAATAGATCTGTTTACAGAACAGAGGAGGACAGATGATGTGTCCAAGGACATACCACAAAGTGATGGCAAAGCTCACAGCTATGCCCATGTTTCCAGTTCACAAGCTGGAGTCCTACTCACTGAGCTGTATCTTCCTTTAAACAGATGAACATTTAAGAGATAGAAGCATTTCTCTTCCTTTCCATATGTAGGTTTCACTGGTTTGCTAATATCTCTACCAATTTACAAACTCTACATGTTACTTGTTCTTCTAAGGTTTTCAAAGGTATTTACAGGCCTTGATAAATATACAGTAGGGGAAAACAGAAAGATATCATTTCACTTGTCCATAAAAGCTTTCTGTCTTCACCGGGAACAGTGAAAAGTGAAGAACACATATTGCATGCTACGCTTTTTTGTTTTAGTTTTGAAGGCCTTGTTATTTTCAGCAGCTTTCAATTTCCTTAAGACTCATAATGAATTAACTAAATTCACGTTTTATTAAGAAATGCATAGGAACAGTCTGCCATATTGGTAAAGGCAGCAAATCAAGTATATTAAATTACTTCAATTTAATGTTAGATGAAAGTTTACACTGAACAAAGGAGACGCCAGTGCAATATAACAAAATACAGCAGAATTCAATACAGTTACAGTGGGACTAATCCTAAGTGCAGTTCTGAACTCAATTGCATAATTTCAAAATCAAGTTACTTTTGGGTGCCTATCATGATGTCTTAGTTATCACTGACTTAGCATTAGATTCAGTTTTGCATCTGGATTTCCTTTCTCTTTAAAGAAAAGCAATAAGAATGGGGGAAGAAAATCAAACGAGAACAAAGGTAAAGGGAAACACTCCCTAAGAGTGTTTCTAAAGGTGAACTTCTTAAAATGGCTCAATGCTGTGCTTAACATTTAAGACTGGATGGCCTTCAGCCATCTAAAGATGACTCTGCTTAGAACCATAAGCTATTACAGAAACCTTAATGACCCAACAACTCAGAACATGCCTAATAGTGTTTATTGTCTTGGCATTAGGCTGATGGACAAATTGTCTCCTGATGGAGAAAGAACCTGGTTGGCAGAGATAATTGTTCCTGCTTAATTTTTGGGGGAGTAATGAATTCTGCTAACTAGGGTCCTGACAGGTAGTACACATCTGAGCAGCTCAGCAAGATTCCAGGTTTCCCAAGGGTTTACACAGAGCACAGCAGCAGATGCTCACGTGTGCGTCTGTGTGTCTGTGTGTCTGTGTGTCTGTGTACACACAAGAGAGTGTGCAGGGACTTTCCAGGGCTCTGGGGAAGCTCCATCCAGAGGCACTTGGCCAAAAAGGGGTGATTGCCAGCCCTGGGCTCAGGCAGAGCCTGTACACTGGCTGCCATGGCCAGGCTCCTGCAAGACACTGACCTGGGCTTCAAGCGAAGCCACGCCTGTGGCGCCTCTCCTGCAACAGCCCTGGGAGCACTTGCATGTAGACGGATTCCGCTGGGCCATAATTGCCTCTATCAGGGCTGGATGAGCTCTTCACTGTCAGTCACTTGATCAGCTCAGCTTCTGCGTTATGGCCTCGAGCCAGAGCCTACAATTCCCTCAGAGACTGCAGGGCAAAGGTTGTGAGGAGGAGGGTGTGCCAGACAAGGATGGGAAGGGAAAGGAATAGGAGGGTGCAGGAGCGGGTACTGGAGTTCAGGCGTGTGTTTGAGCACACAGGAGGAGTAGCAGGCTGTAGACACTGAAGACAGGGCTCCTAATGGAGAGCAGAGGGCAATGAAGACCCCCTTCTGTGCATGGTCCAGCTCTGAGCAGGCAGCTGCTGCAACTCACCGGGGTGGTACTGCAGTCCTGTTACATTTGGAGTCCTTGAGAGAGCTTTAAAGGGAGTGGTTGACTTGGGGTTGCATTGTAAAACTAGGAGGAGATGGTGTGTTCTCAGCATTGTTTAATCAAGTCCTGACATGCAAGAATAAGAGATGACTGGAGAAAGTGTCTACTAAAATTCCTTGCCTTCAGAGAGGCCAGCTGCTTTCACTTTTTTAATTGAACCCTGTTGTTGACATGGTTTTTATTCTTATTTTCCGTGTCCTGCACATCAGTGGCTGGTTTCTTTCCTATAATCCCTACAGTACAAGTGTCTCACTCTGTACTGAGTGAGGACACAAACGTCTTACAGAGGTAGTTCTATGACTTTGAAGTGTTAGAGACACCCATTTTCCTGTCTTACCAAGGATAAGGATTTTCTGTTTTGAAATGGGTCAACAGTTTCAATTTGATAAACAATAACGTATTTCTATTAATCTAAGTTTTGCTGGGCAAGGAATCTACTTACCTATATGTCTTTCACAAGAAAAGAGGGTTTGCCTGCTCAGCTGCTCAAAGAGTGAGCAACATATAGGAAAAAGAGAACAAAGGCAACTGAAATATTTTTTAAAAGCATGTCCTTTAGGCAAATATCAAGCACAAGAATTTCTGAATAAAAATTGTTTTCGGAAGTGTTAGGGCCTGTAAAAAAGTGCAGGGACTAGTATCAGAGTTCAGGGTTAATAATTAGTGCCTTCTATCAAAGGATACATTAATTATTAACTTAAGGCTGTGACTTCCAAGTTGTGATCCACATGGGTAGGAAAGGATTTACCATTGTAAACAATACAGTTTACAGACTCATAGGTTCAAAAGTGAAGTGATAAAGGCACATTGTGGTTTATGAGAAAAGGTGAAGGCTGGCCATCATTTGTTTCAAAAGGACTGGAAAAGACACCAGAATTCGTTTCTGGGCTTACTGTAGTATTTTACTGCTTCCCTTAGAGGGAGCCAAACTCACATCGTCCAGATGCCTGTGACTCATCAGTAGTGCACGCAGCTTACCCAAAATCAGAGAACTATGCAGCAGGAGATTTTGTCATGGTTCCCTGAGCCCTATTTCCTGCCCATTCCCCTAGACTGACTTCCTAATACTGTTTCAGTGCCTCCCAGGTCAGCTCCCACTGCAGCAGCTACAGGCAGTGACACACAAAAGCACTAATCTGACACTGACCTTCCCTTACAGCCTGAGGGGAAATGTTTTTCAGATGTTACAAATATTACCTTTGCAATACGTTATATCACAGCTTTTGCTAGTGGTCTATTCATCTGCACATTGAATGGATAAGGCATTCGAAATGGTCTTAAGAAGCATGTCTTGGGGGCTTCTTCCTTCCATGCC